GAAGAAGAGAGACAGAAAGGAAGATCTCCCATCTACTGATTTACACCCCACTTAGCTTCACTGGCTGGAGCTGAGCCAACCCGAAGCCAGGAGCCCAGAGCTTCCTCCAGGTCTCCCACGCGGGTGCAGGGTCCCAAGGCTTTGGGCCATCCTCGACTGCTTTCCCAGGCCACAGGCAGGGAGCTGGACAGGAAGCGGGGCTGCCGGGTTACCATACTGGATCTTGGCGCATTCAAGACGAGGACTTTAACTGCTAGGCTGTCGCACCAGGCCCCCAGGTAATGTTTGAATAGAAATTGTGGTGATTTTGTTTCAAATAAAAAACATGAGATCACCTTTTCATTACAAACAGCAGATCGTTTTAACTTATTAATGACCAAATTAAGTTTTTGTTTGTTTGTTTTTCCTTTCACCTCCAATGACAGGAAGGACCCCTTAACAAATAACATTCCTTCCAGTTCCTGAGTCCGACAGTTTCTCCCACTATTGCCACCTTGTGGACAAAGGTGGTGGTTTTCAAGAGCGTATAAAATTATGTCTCTCTGTGACCACAAGATGGCAGCACGAAACCACGTTTTCAAAGAGCCTGTTGCCATAGCAGAGTACGCACAACAGCAGCACTCCAGTCTCTTATGCAAACAAACAGAATTTCAAATTTTAACATCTTTAGCGTTGTACAAAGAAGTTCACCTGTTACAGAAACAGGAAAGCATACGTAAAACTTTAGCTGTTTAGTTTGCTTTCTAAGGATATTTCAAACAAACATATTATGCTGATATTCAGAAAGTAAGATATTTGGTATTGTTTTATATCATTTTATTTACTCTCCATATAATGAATATGGAGTGTCTGTGCCTCATGTGAGAGATCCATTTAGAATGGGCAACTCGGGCCCAGCGCGATAGCATAGGAGTTAAGGTCCTCACCTTGAACACACCAGGATTCCATATGGACACTGGTTCTAATCCCAGCAGCCCCACTTCCTGTCCAGCTCCCTGCTTGTGGCCTGGGAAAGCAGTTGAGGACGGCCCAAAGCCTTGGGACCCTGTACCCGCGTGGGAGACCTGGAGGAAGTTCCTGGCTCCTGGCTTCAGATCAGCACAGCACCAGCCATTGTAGCCACTTGGAGAGTGAATCATTGGATGCAAGATCTTCCTCTCTCTCTCTCCTCCTCTCTGTATATCTGCCTTTCCAATAAAAATAATAAACCTTAAAACAAAACTAGAATGGGCAATTGTAAGCCAAGTCCATGGCAGTGGCTCTCCGGGGAGCGACGGCTCGTTGCTGGTCCCGTGCTGAGTGGAACGCAGCCTTGTCGGTGTGTTGCCAATCACTCGTGTGGGACAGAATTTGCTCATGTTTTCTGTATTACATTGCTGCGATAGAATTTACAGAGAAAGGTTTTCCATCTCCTGGCAGCCTGGAACTGTGTGCCCCACAGGGTGGGACAGGCCCAGCTACCGGAGTCCTGCCCTGCCAGGATGAGCAGGAAGCTAGATCTGGAGTGGAGCCACCACTGAATCCCACAGTCACTGAAATCAGCTGGCGGCATCCCAGCAGCAACCGTGCCCTGTGCCAGATGCCCGCTCCTGGGGCACGGATTTATGAGCGCCACATTCACCCATTCTTCAGACGATGAAGCTGAGGCGGGAGCAGTTAGACATTTTCTTTTTTTTTAAAAGATTTATTTTTATTATTTTTTCATTGGAAAGGCGGATATACAGAGAGGAGAGACAGAGAGGAAGATCTTCCGTCCGATGATTCACTCCCCAAGTGAGCGCAACAGCCGATACTATGCCGATCCGAAGCCAGGAGCCTCTTCCGGGTCTCCCACGCGGGTGCAGGGTCCCAAAGCTTTGGGCCGTCCTCGACTGCTTTCCCGGGCCACAGGCAGGGAGCTGGAAGGGAAGCGGGGCTGCCGGGATTAGAACCGGCGCCCATATGGGATCCCGAGTGTGCAAGGCGAGGACCCCAACCACTTGCGCCACCGCGCTGGGCCCGACATTTTCTTTTTTTATTAAAGATAAAAAAGTCAGATATACAGAGAGGAAGATCTATCCATTGATTCAATCCCCAAGTCACCACAATAGCTGCAACTGAGCTGATCTGAAGCCAGGAGCCCAGAACCTCTTCTGGATCTCCCATGCAGGAGCAGGGTTCCAAGGCTCTGGGCCATCCTCAATTGCTTTCCCAGGCCTCAAGCAGGGAGCAGGGGTGGGAAACTGGGCCGCTGCAATACTAGCTAGTACCCATATGGGATCCTGGCGAATGCAAAGTGAGGACTTTAGCCATTAGGCTACTGCGCTGGGCCCAGACGTTAGACATTGTCCAGCTGATGCATTCATGACCTGACCTCCCCGTTTCAGGTTCCTAGACCAACGCTCAGAACTGTTCACAGAAACGCAAGACCCAAAGTGAAGCTGGGGGTACCCAATGGCCTCTGCCAGCGGGCAGTCCCACAGCGACTTGGATCCTTTGGGTAAAAAGGATCCACCCTCTGCGGCCCATGATGTCCTCGAAGATGACACAAGATGATGCAGAAATAGGAGAGCTGCACTTTGCACGTGACCGGAGCTCTTCCAGTCAGTCCTGGGCTGCGTCCCTGGCTTGGGGGTCACATGGGAAGCAGAGGGGTCTGCGTGCACTGAAGCGGCCCGGCCAGGTACTGCACAAGAAAGGAGTGGACTGTGGCCAGACGGCCTGAAGTCCTGAGCTGCACCCACAGCTCTGCCTCTGGTCCTCCTCTCGCTCCCATTAGTGTGACCTCCTCCTCCGCCAGGCCTCTCTCCCATTCCAAGGCAATGGCTCATGCTGAAAAGGCACCACAACAGGTCCACGAAAGAACATTAAGGTGGTGCAGTGGGGGAAAAGGCTGCCCACAGCACAGACCAAGGTGCTGGATCTCGGCAGAGCCTGGCTTCTTTTCTGGGGTGAGCGTGGCATCAATTGTTGGCAGAGCAAAATCCTTCCTTAAGCCTTCTGTGTGAACTTGCGGAGTGTTTTAGTCATTAATGCACTCCAGGAACATCACGGAAGGTGCCAGAAGTGTACCTGAGCTTCATTTAGCCCTCATCACATACATACACAAGGACACACACACACACACACACACACACACACACACACACACACATAAATTGAGGCTGGGAGGCCATTTAGGAACCATCCTTATCTGCAGGTCCAGTCTGGCAGTAGCCCAGATGGCACCAGTTTTGCTAACGCTAAATCGTAGCAAAAATGCTTGGACTTCAGCACTAGGGCAGTTGTACCCTTCCTTGTACCCATCGTAAATATGTCAAAACATGCAGCCATCTTTGAGGGTCTCTTATGGCCAACTTTGGTAATCCTGGAAGTTTGGAAACCTTGTAGATTTGACTAGAGACCCTCTTTGTGCAAAATCAGATAATAAGGAATTTAGTCAGATTGTCATTCTTGTTTTGCCTGTTTTTGTAGGTCACAGGTGTTCTGGGGTTATGTTCCTTTTCCTTAGAGTTTTGTGATTCTAGAACTTCTTTCTTAGCCGTGGTGCATGCAAAGGGCCTGCCACGCACTGGCTGGGCTTCGGCATTACATAGTGATGGTCTCAGCCGGTGAACTCCGAGCTCCCTGAAGAACACTGACTAACCCAAGCATCAGACAGATACCCTTGAATTAAACCCGAGACGAGTGCAGTGAGGGAAGGCAGAGCTTACAATAACAGGACTCCGCTTTCTGTGCGCGAGGAAGGCAGAGTTCCTGCAAGCTGAATGGGAGGACTTCCGGAAGCACCGGCACTGTGTCATGAGCGCCGTGGCAGAGGACATGTGGCCCCACACAGCCCCAGGGAGGACTTGTGGGTCTGTAAGATGTCGGGGAAACGCACATGCAGGGTCTGGATCATTGTCTCGCAAGCCACAAGAAACAGGCCGAACGCATTCCAAGCAGGACGTTCGGGTGGCCAGACGTTCCCCTCACATGTAGCTGGGGGCTAGGCGTTTCACCTCCATGGGAATGCAGGGATGTATACCGGTGGTCACAGAGGACAAGCTGTGTCCTCTAGCCAGTGTGAGATCCCAGAGCAAGCAACCATCGAGTTGGTCCTGAGATTCAAAGTATGTGCATGCAACTTTTACATATTACTTTTAAAGATTCCAGATTATTGTGGTTCCTTTAAAAAGGATAGTGAAAAGAAAATCCAAGTATTTGATCAAGACGTACTCCACCAACTCTAAGGTTAATTGATACATTTGTCACATATGCATTAACTACCTGCCAGGCATGAGGGCTTTGAGCCTGGTGAGACACGTGCTGTGAAAACAGGCGGCACGCTTTTGCTTTCTGATAGAACGGACAAACTGGCAGCATGGAAGCCAATGAAAGACTTCCATGATACCAAGTTCAGATAAGCGCTTTGTAGATTTGTAAACCAGAACAAAGGGTTACTTACTGTGGAGGATGCGATGCAAGAGTCCCGGGGTGGGTGACATTTCAGCCAGAGTATGAATGAAGATTGTGAAGTAAGAAGTTCAATTTCCGGGCGAAGAATATTCTTAGCAGATAAAACAGCAGGTGGAAGGGTTTTCGAGCCAGAGTGAATGGAACCTGTCAGAAGAAGAAAGGAAAGTTGGATTGGCTTGAGGAGGGTGAACTAGGGACAAAAATGGCAGAATAAGAACGGGGCCACGAGACATGCCACGCTTCCAGCATCTTGCAATCAAGCGCAAGTTCCCCCTCCATTAGACAGAGCTCTTGTCCTCACCCCCTGCCCACGTGACATGTAGCATTGAGGCTTTGTAGTTGCAGTCAACTTTTTGCCATATCCAACCTCAGAACAGTTGTTTCAAGCAGGACATCTCTGTCTTTCTGCTTCTTTCTGCATCCATTTCTATTCAATTTCTTTCTGTCTCGTGTTTCATTGTCCTTTCAGTGGAGAGTGCCAAATTGCCTGCCTTTTATTCACAAGTGATAAAGTGGTTTTTTGTTTGTTTGTTTGTTTGTTTTGCTGAATGTTTCTTTTTTAGAAATTGGCACCACCGTGCACTTCAAGCAACAAGGTATGGTGATCATTTCCAATTTTCTTCTATGTGTTTCTATTTCGAAGTAGCATATTGTGGTCTTGTACGCTTGAACTTAGTTCAGTCGTTTCTCTCCCACAGTTGGTATTATTCTCTTCCAAATTGTGAACTTCTTTGTTTTTCAAAAAGTGCTTCACCCAACCCATGACTTTTTTTTGACTTTAGGTGGTTACTGATGTTTTAAGTCCTTGGAACTGCGCAAGTTACACTCTAGCATACCTAAGAAGTACAAACCAGGCCAAACTTTCCGTGAAACGCAAGCACTTGCTTATTATGGCGTGCCCCCTTACCATCTCAGAAGATCGCCATCCCCAACAGGACTCGTCCCTAGAGTCATGCCACATGTGCGACTACATAGGCCCCCTATAAATCCTGTGGTCCCCTTCCGGCTGGCGATTGTCTTGTAAAAACGTATCTTCCTTCTTGGGTCTCAGAAGGAGCAAGACAACCCAAATCATTCTCAATCACCAAAACAAATTCTTATCCACTTCGGTCATTCCAATGTCCGGAAGCCTCAGAGATCACGGACATTTTGTCACTTAGGAGAGGAATCGCTCTAGCAGGGAACAGTAAGACATTCCTTCATTCCTGCAGCAGAGAAAGCTGCACTGGCAGAGGATGGACAGCAGGTGGCACCAGAGTCGGGCTTATCACAGAGCTCCCCTTTATAAATGGCTTCCCAGGACACCCAGGCGCCTTGGACACATTTAGAAAATACTGCAAGAGAAGATATTTTGGAGATTCTACAGATTATTGTTTTAATTTGTTGGATTTAGTTAAGATATTTGCATTAGAAATTGTTTAGATTTTTGTTATATCCTCAGTTATCCAATCATCCCTAAAGAATTCAGACTCTTCTGGAATGTCTGTTGTTTTGACTGACCTCTGTACAGGGATAACATTGTGATTGAACTGCATTCCTTGCAAGGGTGCGAAGCTTCTTTTTTTTCTGCCAAGGGCCATTTGGTTGTAGTCGTATCATGTATGCACCACACAAACTCATCAACTTAAAAATTCACCTGCTGTATAAATGGATGGAAGTTAGAGTCTAGTCTGCATTTGCCTCTGCAGTGCCACACCAATGCTCTCCTGCCCCTCAAAGTTGGACATTCCCACCCTATCCCAGGAGTAGGGCGCACTGCCCAAGGATGCACAGGCCACAGTTCATGATTGTTTGGAAGGATCTAGTAGTAAATTCAGAAAATGACCCTTAAGAATTCCAAAGGAGCCAAAGAAAAGTGATGGCCAAACTTGAGTTACAAAGTGTCTCCAAGCATGATTACTAAAGTAGATGTTGAAAAATTCCTGTGTCTTTGGTTTGATATTTTATTGAAAGATGTTATCAATGAGCTCTGGCTCACACTTGTACTTCTCAGTTTTCAAGGTGTTTTAGGCATCACAGCTAAGGCCGCCTGCTCCCTGTGTGAGCATCGCCCTGACAGAGCACCACCCAGCCTCAGCCCCGAGACTCTTACTTTTCCACTCCAGAGTCGAGAATCGTCACCTCTGCCCCGGTGCAGCTGTACAGTCATTAAAAGCCTCGACCCAGTTCGCAAACCAACACCTCTCCCTGAGGCTGGAGATTTTACCCCCTTTTGTGATCCACACTTCCGGGGTGATGATGACAATGCTACAACTCAGTGCGTGTTTACCACATTCCTAACACATCAGTGCACACACACATACACACATATAGAAATGTGGTTAAATACCAAGATATGTTTTTTTGTCTGTTATATGAGAAACAGGCAGCAAATTTTTGAATTGTGGCTCTATTTGCCCGTCTATTCTTAAAGCTAATTTATGTTTGCAGACTCTTGCTTTCATTATATCTGTCAGTGTATGAAAGCACTTGCTGAGCCTGGCCATCTGGTGTGGGAAATAAGATTTATCATTTGCATTTCCACAAATAAGCAGAAATTTTAGAACTATGAACTGAAACATAATTAATGACTTAACTGATGATTCTACTCTGAACTGGCCATTAACTGAAGTAGTCTCCTATGTAGTTACACGTGTCTCTAATTGCAAACACACTTGTGATGGTTCCCCACTCATCACCTGTTTGCCCTTCCATTTTTTTTCAAGTATATTTAGTTACTCTGAAAAACAACCAGAAAAGCCAAATCATGGAAGCACAATGGCTGTATGAGAGCACTTCATAATTTATAGGTTAGAGATATTTTTATCAGTTACAAAAATATGTATTTCAACTACAATACTATCTAGGAAAAAATTAAACATCACCAACTTACCCATACCAAGATTCCCTATAGTAACAGAGTAGCAAGTGCAAATAACAGTTAATTCAGAATTATGAGTACTAAAGGTCTGATAATACATGCCTGTGTCATAAATGCGTGCATGAGCATCATATAGAATATACATTCATAGGTACAGGCTTATGGAAATTAGGAAGAATGTTACCCATGAGTATGTTTATCCAGGCCACAGTGTGGGTCCTTCAAAAAGTTCGAGAAACATGTACTTGAAAGATGTTACTTTGGTGCAAAACGTTTCAGAATCTGTGACTACTTTCCCTTAATAGTTATGTCCCATGAGCGTCATATGCACGTATCTCTCAATGATGAGGCTTTGCATTTGTCAGATAGTTATGGTAATTCCAATGAGGTAAGATTTCTCAGCTCCAGGATGTAGGGGAAAAAAGGAAACCTACCTTATCCTCATACCAGAAATGAAACTATGAAATAAGCAGAATTGGATTCTTCCTAAAAAAAAAACATGTTTCTCAGTACTCTAACGCGGACCACACAGTGCTTTAACTCCACTGTGTCCCGGTGTTGAAGCACTCATTAACATAAGCGCATGAGTGCAGAATCTCATGCCGTTGAATGCACACAGAGGATGAAAAACATGGGAAACTAGCATTGCTTGCAGGACAGACACCCAGGGCCATTGCCACTCACAGACTGTGAAAGCCCCAAAATGGGGAGTGGGGAAGACATGAGATAGGGGATCAGGAAGGGTTCTGGGCTAAACCTGAGGACACCTGGCCTGCAGCGCTGAGGCAGCTGTCTTGTGGCAGGTGCTGTATGCAGATTAAATCATCTTGAACTCCTCAAGAAGGTAACTAACGTGCTTTTCGTTAACATCCTGTAGCCATTTAGAAAGTTAGAGAATTAGCTAAGTAACTTTTTTCTATTTCCATTCCTTCACAGATAAATAGCCTTTTGCACAGTACTTCTGCTGATTAGCATTTGAATGCGTTCATATTTTTATTAAGCAGTGTTTTAAATGCTTGTACTAGATTGCCAAAATGTCATTCTGGTCCATAGTTTTTTATTTGATTGGAAGTCATTTTTGTGGATACACTGGATGTTTCCTTGTAGGTTATATTCTTGCAGGCCATTGTTTAGTCAAACCCACATTTCATTTGCTGAATGTCTGACCAGAGACTCAGCAGCATGAAGAGGCTCATCTTCATGGCGGAATGCCACTGTGTAGTGGTGATAGACAAGGGCCATGCAGCCAGACACCTGTTCAAACCCCAGTGCCTCTGCCTGCATGTGGGGCAAACCTGTAGTGCATGTGAGGCTCCACAGGCCTCCGGTAGCTCACCATGGTCATTCACACGACCATCAGAGTTTGCTCCCTCCAGGAGAGCACTGGCCTCATGGCCGTGGCCGTGTAAATCATCAACAGCATTCTTTTGTAGGTTATGCTTCATTTTGTGGTAGTTTTCATTATTTACATAAAATGTAGATTGGCATACAATCTTGAATGCTTTTTTCCTGTTTATTCCCTCTGGTCTGGTGTGTGTGTAGATAATACTGGGGGAGAGTATCACTTCCTGGAGGACACTTCCATTGCACTTGAAAGACATCATAGTATAAACACACACACACTTGGATAAATGTCCTCAGAACCTCAAAATAGCTGCTAAGTCTAGTCACACCACTTACTCCTTTGAACATCTTGTTGAAGTGTGTGGTTATAAAAGCATCTGATGAAAAAAAATACTAAAATATTTACTTTTTCCGGAAAACTATAGAAAAGGAAAAACTGAAACGTGGAAAGCATAGGAGACAAGGTCTTGCATGGGCCTACACATCCCAACTCGCACCTTCTCTTTCCAAGAGAGACTGAACAATCCGCCCTTCTCCACCTTCCTCTCCACCCCACTCTCCCTTGGAGGCCCACATCACATCTCCCTCATCATGTCCACATTTAGCAGCAGCAGGAAACTCCAAACCCCATGCCAGGCCCGGGCAGCCTGAAATTCCAGTTCTGCTCCAGGTTTAGACTTGTTTCCACTCTTCTCGAGGTTTGCCTAATTTGTGTTGGGTATCTGATTTTCAAATTGACAAATGAGTAGTTTGAGCAAGATGCCCCTTGCAAGTGTACGCCATGTTGGCAGTTCTCTGCTTCTAAGGTAACACACGGGCATTCGTTTTATTTTAAAACTATCTTCTTCCCCATCCCATCATTCTCTCCTGAGATACCAGAGTCACTGGTTTGCTGCATGTTTCATTGATGGAGAGGTCATGAGGAAGCAGCAGGAAGAGCTGAGGTCTGGCTCCTGCGGCAGCTACACCAGTGCTTGGAATCTCAACGTGTGCTGACCAGAACAGAGTGTTCAAGAGGAGACGGGCGGGAGGGCGGGGGAGTGGCGGGGGGGACAGGGACCTTCAGCACCTCCAGATCCACTGGGAACAGCCAGCCTGGGGATTCTCCCAACCAGAGCTTTTCATATTAGAGGTGTTTCCACCAAATCTACCACTTAAGAAACTTATAGCTTGGGGTGGAGAAGACTCTGAGGAAGGGTTAGGGCCTTTTGTGGGCTGCACTCATGGAGACCCCCATACGTGGCTGGGCCCCGCCTCTGACACCAGCAGCGGCAGTGGCAGCAGCTAAGCGAGCATAACTGGCTGCAGGATGTAACTCTTCTCTCTTCTCTCTCCTCTTCCCCTCTGCAGGACCTGGCTCGGTGAGAGGAATAAATGGATCCATCAGCCTGGCCGTACCACTGTGGCTGCTGGCAGCATCTCTGCTCTGCCTTCTCAGCAAATGTTAATAGAATTAAAAAGTTTAAATATAATTTAAAAAAAAAACACACAAAAAAGCGTCACACGGGATACAGAGAGAGAGAAAGAGTGAGATGGGGGGAGGCCGTTTATTTCACAACTTTGTGTGTTTATAACTGATAGGGGAGCTAAGAAAATCAAGAAGAACATACAGCATTTAAAAATAATTTTAAGGTCTATCAATAAAAATTGGAGTGTAATTCAGAGTGGGAAAAATGCTAGCATGATGTGTGTATGTCTACTAAGCAAGCAAGTGCAGTGCAAAGACTACATCCTGCTGAGGACATCCGGATGTTGTGAAAAAAAAATCTATATACAGGACAAGTACAGAAGAACCAGGTGGACACTAACTCCCCCTGCACACTTTATCCTTCCTTCCTTCCTTCCTTCATCTTTTTTTTTTCCATCTGTGAGGAAAAAAAAAAATAGGTTTTGCCTTTGGTGTTTATATTTACATAATCTTCCTCTGTTTTTCCTTTGAGCTGACTCATAGCCATTGCTGACTCTCAGTGGGATCCTGGGCTGGGCTCTCACCTGCCACCACTCTCTCTCCAGCTTTCAAGACCACCCACTCTCCCTGCAGTGTGTTCCATTTCCCCGGACCCGCCCCCATTCCCAGTAACCCCCAGTACTCGCAGTACTCCCAGCTCCACGGCCCCCAGAGCACTAGACATACCGCAAATGGTAGGAAGTGTCATTTTGGTTTTCTCCACTGTGCGTGCGTGTTCAAGTCTCACTCCCACGTGGGTGCACATGTGTGTGAGCGTGTGTGTGTCTCTCTCTAAAGCATGCCAAGGGAATGGTCCATGTGTACATAGACTCATTGTGCTATAGATACTGTCCTGCATTGTACTTGTGAGATGCAGCCATAACAAGTTGCTGGGAGAGTTGGTGGGGAGGGAAGCAGAGTTGAGTCCCTGCCCCATCCATGGCTGTCACCTGACATCAGTGTGTATTCAAACCAAGCTGTGCCCCTTCCGAGGGCAGGACCCCATATCCCTCCTAGTTCCATCCTCAGAACCCAGTTGGGAGCCACTCAGAATATCACTGTAAATGAAAGTGCCTATCGTTGGGGTAATCAAATTGTAAAACAGGCCAATGACATGGATGAGATGACTTAAGAGAGAAGGTTTCTGGTTTCACACTTATTTCAGAAGGCTGAGGGATCCCGGCATCCCCTGGCATTTTACAGGCCTGGTTCTACTCTGCTGCAGGAGCCAGCCGCATGTGCTCAGTCAATTCCCAGAGAAGGACCCTCTCCATGGATTAACACCCAGTGGAAGAGGAACAGACTCTGCGAAGATCCTCAGCAGCCCTGCTTGGCCTCCTTCCTGGACTTATCCCCCACATTCCTCTGAGTAGAGCTTAGTTCAGTTTCAGATAAAAGAAAGAGCGATTATGGCAGGGAGTGTAAGCAGATGCCAAGTCCCTGCCTGAGGTCAGTCTAACAGGAAGCATTGACCGTAACGGAGGGAAAGTCACTCCTGGTGCTCCTTGGCAGATTTTTGCCTTTTAGTTCTAGGCTAATTCTTTGGCTGCCCTCATCAACTTCCTTTTGTTTCCCTGCCATTGTTTCCATGACCATCAAACCAGGCCCCTAGAAACTGCATGGTAGCCACCATCCATGTGCGAGAGTCATCTTAACAAGAACATTGACAACTGAGCTAATGTCTCAACCCAGGGGGCTGGGCAACTTGTAAATAATTTAGGCAGAAATCATAGGAGTATCACAAAGCGTGATATCACCACGATTTTCTTAGGAAAGTTTTGCTGGCTCTCTGGAAGTGGATGTGTTTTTCAAGGAGCCAACCATTGGTCTCACTTAGTGGTTCAGCTGATGCAAAGACACAGGATTCTTACTGAGCTCATCAACAAGTGTAACCCCCACAGAGCCAAATTACATCCACTAATCAAGCCTCTGAACCTTGAGAATAACTGTCTTGTGATGCAAAACAGAAAGCTTATAGCTGGGGGAAAGTCGGAAGAAGGGAAGGAAGGAAGGAAGGACGGAAAGGAAGAAAACAATTCTAAGCAGAGTTTTTCATCTCTTTGAGAGGAATCTATTTGTTTTAGATTTTTCCAGAGCCTTCTTTCATAATATTGCAGTTTAGTCATACAACAGAAGGAAAAATCGAGAGCTTGGGGGATAGGTAAGAAAATTTATGACAGATGCTGACCTAGCACAGAAAACCTCATTCAAGAGTCACTAAACTCAGAGGAGAAGTGAGACGCTGTCCTGTGCACCATGGGTTTATTCTGACAATCAGCAATTTCTCTGACAGTTTGGTTGTCTAAGTACGGGCATAAAAGGTTATCATCTTGGAAGGCAAATGTCTTTCATGTGTTGAATAGGCAGCCACATCCTTAACTGGAAACTTTAGAAGAATGCATGCTCCTTGAAGATTCCAAGAAGAGAACAAACGCAGGCAATTCAGATGTCATTTACAACCAGTTTCAGGAACCATCCTTGTGGCCAACTTTCAACCTGCATCGGCCTGGCTTTCTCACTGTCTCCACCCTGTAATAATGAGGACATTGCTTGGTTTTCTGAAGGGAAGAGGTTCTTTGTTGAAAGAAATGTCTTTACCACATTAGCACCATTTGTTCTCTTGGTTTTAGTATCATGAGCATATATTAAACATAATTAAACATTAAAAACGTGGTGTTTGCCTGTATCTCCAGTAGAATCTCCAACTAAAAACAACAACAAAAAAGTACCAAGAACAAAATGAAAAGGTCTACCTTGCTCCTGTTTCAGAGAAAATATTGGCCCCAGAAATTGCACAGGTTTTGAGAATGTCTCTTAAGTCATGGGAAGAATGCAAAAATACAAAGTTTAGAGAAATGTCAGGAAAAAAGAAACATTGAAAGAAAACCACCTACACCAAGAAATCAAGTCTCAACTAGAGGCTTCTTGGAATCTAGTGCTTGGCATTGCTTCGGGAGTCCTGTCCATTGGTAACCAAAGCTGCAATGCCCATGCAGCATCAAGTGGCTGGAAACAGAGTTCTGAGAGCAGTGAAAAGCTTTAGCTAATCCCAACAGCAAGTATAGCTAATGTCCTTTGCATGCAGGGTGAAAAATTCACTACTCAAACAAAATTTAGAATTTTAGTTTACAATCACAGAAATAACGAATCCTGAAGACTGAGAGCTAGCCTGTGTTGTACAACTGACGAATCATAGTTATTCTACCCACAAAGCTGTTCATGAGGAGGTTTGCCTTGTTGGAGGAATGGTCTTGCCCTGAAAGAGGTGAGGTCTACGGACAAGTAGATGAAGTGTTTTCTCCAGGAAGGACCGTTCTATGGACTCTGCCTTCTCTTTCAAGTCAGACTTGAGCATTTTCTTTTACTAATGTAGTCAGATAACTTGGGCTATCCATAGAGACCTTGCAAAACTACTCGTGATTTTTCCTGTCCTTGGAGGACAGAAACAAGCATCTGTTTCTCCTCCCAGGATGGACGCACCTCCTTCGCACACAGTCACTAACCTTTTCAGCATGGGATTATTTGTAGTTCCTACACAGCAGTTACCTTCTTCCACACCTCAGAGTCGCAGTTTTCAGCTCTGCATTAACTCTGTTTGCTCTTCTCCCTGAATTTCTCATTTTATTCTCCATAGGCCTTGATTTTTTTTTCTGGTGGAAAAATAATATATATATAAATGTATGTGTGTATGTGTGTACTTTAAAAAAATCTTATCTCTAGAGATACTATATTTACAATTATGTATAAGACAAATTTAGAAGATGTTTTAACCTTAAAAAGGAAAAAAACGAGTACTGATTTCTTTTTAGAAAAATCTGTGCCTCATTCAAAAAGACACGTAGCCCTGCTTTTCCATTTTTGTATTAATTTGCTTGAAAGAAATGTGCTTATGGACCATGTTCTATGGGAATAAACATAGCCTCATTTTATCTTTGCACTCATAAGCTGTTGGCCCCAATTTAGTCTTGGTTTTCAATAGCTATTTTTTTTTAAAAGAATGTAAGTTCAATTCCATATCTGAACTACATGAACTAACAATATTTTGAAGCCAAATGTTAAACAGACCAGACAATGGGGAGATAAGAGCCTGAGTTAAGAAACACAAAACTAATTTGAGAAGCCCTCTTCTTTCTTAAGTATTCAAAATATTTCTCCTCCAAAGGCTGTACTTGCCCTAGTGATGTAAATTTTCCATCATGGTTGGCATAATATCTGTAAACATCTCACTAAATGCAAAATGGAGTTTACATTTATGTGCATGCTAGCAGGAGAAGAGTAAACTCTCCTCATTTGCATGTCGCTATGCAGCTCAAATGTCACCAACTGAAATTCAAGAAAGAATTTGTTTTTACCGAGCAATGTACATCACGTTCCTCTTGGCAAGGAAGCTGGTGTTAATGTTAGGTTTAGGTTTAACATTTACAGCAGGGAAAATGTTTATGGAGATTGTGGAAACCTTATTTTAAAATCTTGATTTCTTTTCAGCACATTTACATACTGTGTGCTGATTAATAAATTAGGCACCAATCATGTGTAAATCAATGTAAATCACTAGTTTATGTACATAATATAAACTATGCAAACTTAATTTTTCATGCAGGGCTCAAATTCAGCCAAACCTAAGAATCTTGAGGGGAAATCAAATAAAGGTAAAGAAAACCAAAGTATAGCACAGATCCCAATGGGGAAAAGGAGGACTACATTTCCAAATGTGATTTTGCCTCAGTCAGAAGGCGTATACCCCAAGGAAACACTGACAGATTCCCATCCTGTTCAAGCCACAGGAGTCCATAGTCACCCACCCCCACTTCTCCAGAACCTACGTGGAGATTCTCCCAGCTTTGCCCCAGCTTTATCACCTGACTTCAAAGCAAAGCAAGAAAACAGAAAGGCTCCTGTGTCTGTTGCATCTACTCTTAGACACCTTTCTGTTCGTCCTTTTCACCATCGGAAACATCTTATTCATATAGCTCCAAGGATGTCACCCATTCCTATATGAACAATATATTCAGAATGTTTTAAATGAAGAACAGATTCTTTTGAATTTGGACTATACCTCTCAGGCATATTCCCATGGAGTCTTTGTAGTGCCTGATGTGATTAACAGAATGACAGATATTTTTTTCTTCCATCTGCACACTTGGTCCATAAAGAATCATCAAAGAGATGACTTTAATAACATGGAATTTTCCCAGGAGCTTTAATAAAGAAATTAACATTGGACTGCAAGTACACTCCTGTACCTTAGTTAATGACAACCTAAAAGTAAGGCGTGAGGTATATAGAACTTGAATGGGAAGAATTGGTACCAGCCCTGATGTGGCTACGCAAAGGATGTGTGATAG